CCCACCTCACTCCAACCTCCTGCCAGGGAGTTGTAGAGAGCCAGAAGGTCTCCTCCATTCATCCTCCTCTTCTCCACACTAACACCCCCAGGTCCCTCAGCTGCTCCTCACAATCATGTTCCCCAGACCCCTCCCCAGCTTTGTTGCCCTTCTCTGGACCTGCTCCAGCCCCTCAAGGTCTTTCTTACCCTGGGGCCCCAACACATTTCCCCATGACACCATTGTCAGTGTTTTCCCCACCCCATATTAGACTGAGAAGATGTCTTGCAGTTATTTTGCAGAGTCCTTTTCTTTGGTGTAGAGAGGAGGCTCCTGCAGGGCACTTGACCTTTCTCTGCACGCAGTGGCTGAGGAGCAGAAAAGAAGCTGAGGGTGTCTCTGAGACCTGTGGTGTCCTTTCCCAAGCTGGTTGGTGGTTGTGGTGAACCCTGCTCCTGTGGCTCTTTTGGTTTTCAGCAGCATTTTGCATTTGGGGCCATTCCCACGAGGTCCCCCAGGGTGTGGGGTGTGATGGTGGCTGGGGAGAAGCTCTAAGCCAAGCCCCAGCTCAGCGGGTTGGGTTCTGGATCTGGATAGATCTTATGGTTCCACCTGGACACAAGTTTTAGGGCTGATTTTGACCCCTCTGGTCATGCTCTGGCTGCAGGTCTCCTGTCTCTGTGGCTCTGCTCCATGCCTGCTCTGTGGCTGCTGCCCCTCGACCAAGAACTCCACCATCTCCCGCCTCCTCTTCACTTTCTTCCTCTTCCTTGGCACCCTCGTGTCCATCATTATGATAATCCCTGGGGTGGAGAAGGAGCTGCACAAGGTAAATAACTCCTGCAGGTCGCTGGGCTCGGGCACCGTGGGGAGAAGTTTGTCTCGTGGTGGGTACATGAGGCTGAATCAGAAATGACTTTTTGGGGGCATGATGTTGCTTCTGTTCCTTGTGCTCTGAGCAGCTCAGAGGGAGAGGGTGTTATTAATCGTGGTGGGTACATGAGGCTGAATCAGGAATGACTTTTTTGGGGTGTGATGTTGCTTCTGTTCCTTGTGTTCTGAGCAGCTCACAGGGAGAGGGTGTTATTAGCCCTGGTGTCCCACGGGGGTGGGAAATGTCACGGGATAATTCCATGCATTATCCAGTTTCCCTAGATGGCTCCCAGGGTGGTTTTCTGTATCTTGTCTCCTGTTACTGGGTTGACCAAGTGACCTGGGAGTCGTGGAGGCGAGTTGAGAAGCAGGGAGGTGATGTCTGCTGGAGGCTGGGCCGGGCTTTTTGGGCAATGCTGCTTCCATCCCAGCTCTCCCCCCACCTGCAGGGGGGTGGCACTGCAGCAGCGATGGGCTTTGGTGGCACCAGGGCTGGGTGATGCTCACCCTCCCGTCACCCCCACAGCTCCCTGGCTTCTGTGAGGGCAGCGGGTCGGTCCTGGGGGTCCAGGGCCAGCTGGACTGTGGCAGCTTCCTGGGCCACAAGGCCGTGTACCGCATGGGCTTCTCCATGGCCACCTTCTTCTGCCTCTTCGCCACCCTCATGGTGTGTGTGCGCAGCAGCAGGGACCCGCGGGCCGCCCTGCAGAACGGGTGAGTGGGGGGTCCCCGGGGGCACCACCATGGGGGGCTGGCCCCCTCCCTGTCCCCCCTGGGTTGGGCTTGCACGCCCTGCCTCCTCTTTCCTCCCACAGCTTCTGGTTCTTCAAGTTCCTGGTGCTGGTGGGGATCACGGTGGGGGCCTTCTACATCCCGGATGGTGCCTTCACCCCAGGTGAGGAGCTGCCCCCCCCCAGGTCTCTGCGTTTTGGGGTGACCCTCGGTGCAGGATGGGGGCTGGAGGCAGCCTGGCACTGAGGTCCCGCTTTCCCTGCTCTCCACTGGTTTCTCTCCTCCCCTCCAAGTCTGGTTTTACTTCGGTGTGGTGGGCTCCTTCCTCTTCATCCTCATCCAGCTGGTGCTCCTCATCGACTTCGCCCACTCCTGGAGCCAGCAGTGGCTGCGCAGGGCGGGCGAGGGCAACGCCAAGGGCTGGTATGCAGGTGGGTCTGACTGGCACAGACAGGGGTGTGGGCATGGGGACCCTCCTCCTGGGGGTGGGTCACCCTTGAGCTGCTGGGGGTTCTCCTCCAGCCTCTTCCTGCCTTCTCCCCCAGCCCTTTGCGTCGTCACCTTCCTCCTCTACGCCGCCTCCATCGCGGCCCTAGCGCTGCTCTACGTCTACTACACCAAGCCCGAGGGCTGCACGGAGGGCAAGGTCCTCATCAGCATCAACCTCCTCCTCTGCCTCGCCGTCTCTGTCGTCTCCATCCTGCCCAGGGTGCAGGT